ATCCTGGGATGAAGCCCGTCATGTTTTTAAGTGATAGGTCTAGAACCTCAATCTTATCTAGTCTAGACAGCCACCTTGGAATTTGACCCGTGAATCCACAGCCACCCAAACCCAGGACTTGGAAGATTTTGGAACTCGCCAGCTCTTATCAAGTTTTCATCTCCTGCAGTGGTTCATTGTAAAAGTTCTTTGACAGCATTAAAATGCTGAGGTTTTTGCACCCTGTTAGGATGCGGATTGCACTGGTGATATTGTTTAGGCTATTATTAGAAAGGGATAAGAAGGATAGAGATTGTAAAGCCGTTATGCCAGGCAAAACTCTCCATTTAAACTATTAGTGGCCAAGCGAATTGCAGCCAAATTCTTGCATAAAGAAAGTCTTGCTGGCAATCTACATTGACCCTTAAACTCAGCGTTGTAAGTCTCGTACAGTTCGTAAGAGTTTGAGGCAGAGTGCCCTTTAGTTTATTATTGTGAAGCAACAACTTTTCCAAGTTGGAGAGCATCCCAATACCTCGAGGAATCTTTCCTGTCAATTCATTACCAAAGAGAGCAAGGGTTCTAAGGTTAATGAGGTTAATAATGCTCTCATCTATCACTCCAGAGAGCTTATTGGCAGGCAAGTAGAGTTCTTGCAGCGCTGAAACTGTGTAAATATCACTTGGAATTGCTCCCGAAAGGTTATTGAAACCTGCTCGTAGTCTCAACAGATTGGAACACAGGCCAAAACCTTGTGAAATCGAGCCTACAAAGTCATTATTGGAGAAATCAAGATCCTTGATTAAAGGAGAAAATCTGCAGACAGATGAAGGGATTGAACCAGAGAAGCTGTTGTTGCTGACATTAAATCTTTGCAAATTTAATGCTGGCTGGAAAGATGAAGATTGGGTTGTCCCATAAAAGCGGTTGCGGGATAAATCCACTGTTGTGGCAGTACTCATTAGCTTATCAGAATCTGATAACTGCCCAGTGAGACGATTATGGCTCAAATCAATTATCACAAGGCGGTTCAAGGCCGTAAAAAATGCATCCGGGATAGGTCCAGAGAGCCAATTCCGTGACAGATTGAGTTGAGATAGATGACTGAGGTTTACAATAGAGGGAGATATGGTTCCAACTAGCCCTTTCGACGGTTGCAATAGACTGTTCACCCTGTCACTCTCATCACATCCAACTCCTTCCCAGCTGCAGCAATCAACCGAAAGAGACCAATTCAGAGGAGATGAAGTACTAATACTCAGGTTGAATGATGATAAAGAATCTTGATCGAGTTGATTACATGAGCCATGACAGGTATATACAGAGCAAGGAGTCACCACTACTAAAATTAACAGCACATCCAAGAAACACACATGGGACGAGGACGAAGACGAGGACTAAGACGAAGAAGAAGAAGAATAGAATGGAGACAAGAGCATGGCCGAAATAAGACGATTATATGTAGGATTTGATTCCTTGAAGATGGGTTTATTGCTTCTGATGATTCTTAGGAAAACAACAGAAAATCAAGACAGATGATGATACCAAAGATACTGAAATCAATCATGTGGGTTCGTCCAGTTCTTTCATCCAAGTTTGTGCAGGCCTTCCACCAAGAGAAGGAGGGGCAGAGGGTAGAGAGGAAGATAAGAGTGGGTGCTGTTAACATGGAGCAATATTAAAGTTCAGTCTAAACTATCAAAAAAACCGTGTACTTTTGGGACGGCTGGCTGGTGGACTTTCTTTATGTTATGCTTGTGCATATATATTTGGTTTTTAGATGAGATGATAAAAGTTTGATTTTATAAATGATTTTAGAATTGGGATCAATGTTCGAGTCACAAGAGTGTGATGTCAAGGGATGTATTGCTGGAACTCTTTGAGCGTCTCCAATGGTAGTGTAAAATTGGATGTAAATTGATATCTTCAAAATTACTTTTGCATCTTCATTTACATTTCGATAGATCTGAAATTAAATCATGCTCCAATAGTAAGATTTAAATTCACTTTTTACCTCTTGTGAATGTAACAAAAAGATGTAAATTTATTTCTTGTTTTGCATTTTCTATCGAAAAATGTAATTTGCATCTCTTCATTGAAGAGATTTTCAGTCACTTTGAAGATCTAAATCTTTATTTTACATTACGTTTGGAGATGCTCTTAAACTTATTGGTAGGATCACTAAACAATAATGGTCAAATGCTGGTTTTTAGATAAATAGTTAAAGTTTGACATTGCGGATATTTCATATAATAGAGAAGAGAAAGTTTGTATTTTACGGGTTTAGTTGCAGGGGAATTTCACAGGCTCTTGATGAATATATTTTTCCCTGTATAAAACTATTGTGGTGACCACTTGTATGTAACAAACAAAAAGATAAGATTGGTGGTTGTGACTGTAGGAAAATTGTTTCAATATTGGATACCGGATTTGCAGTAGCAGATTCAATAACCTTGAATACAATGGATTTAAGTATACATAACAGATTTAATACAGTAGCAGATTCGATAATATATGTTAAATTGCAGTAAAGTGTAACAGTTGATTTAAGCAGAATTACAAACGCAAATTTGCAAAAACG